GGAGTCCTGAACGGAAACGTCTTGTGCCTTTTAGCCACTCCCTCGCCCGTTCCTTGGAGCCATCATGACCGTCAATCGGCATTAGCGTGTTGGATCAAACTTGCGTGTGCATGAGTGGGCCCGGCATTAGTTGACAACATTTTTTGGGGTCAACAGTAGGTGTGAAGAGGAATCTTTTCTGCGTTTTTTGGTCATTTTTGTTAGTCTTAATCCCAGTAGGTTTTGATTCGTGTATATTTGGTTCTGTTTGCTTCTAATTTATGCTATGCAAGATTAACTGATTGTAATTTTGCTCACAGATTAATAGTAGACAATGCCCCCCCCCAAAACATTTTCATTTGAGATATACACCTATCTATTGGAAATCGCAGAAAATCTATTGGAAATCGCAGAAAACCCCCTATTTGAAATCTTTTGTACGAAAAAACCCTGATAAATTTTTTGTTAAAAACAGAAAAAATGTGAAAATCAAAAGTAATAATTACAATTTTAGTATCCAAATTTTTTATTCTTTTACAAATTATATTCAATTTTTTTTATGTACCACCCACAATTTCAAACCTTTAAAACTTTATTTTCTACTCCACCCCACTTCATCTTCTTCCCCAAACCTTTATTATTTTATTAATCCCTTCCAAAACCCACATAAATCTCTCATCCCAAATTCATCATTTCTTCAACTCATTTCCAAGATTAGAAATATCCACTCCCTACAAAACCCAATTTTGAGTTACAGTTCTACGAGGAATATCATGAGTTATTGAGGCCTAACGAAGGAACGCCGCCATGGGGGAATTCAATAACTCATGATATTCCTCGTAGAACTGCAACTCAAAACTGGATTTTGTGGGGAATAGATATTGTGGATTTAAGGGGTTTTTGGAAGGAATTAAATAAAATAATAAAGTTTTTGGGAAGAAGATGAAGTGTGGTGGGGTGGAAAATAAAGTTTTAAAGATTTAAGATTACATCATAAAAAAAATGTGGGTATAATTTGTTAAAGAATAAAAAATTTGAATACTAAAATTGTAATTATTAATTTTGACTCTTTTTTTTTTTTATGCTAAGGGGGTTTTTCTCAAAAAAGGTTTCAAATAGAGGGGTTTTCTATTATTTCCAATAGATAGAGGAGTATATCGCAAATGGAAACGTTTTTATGGAGTTTTTTGCTATTAATCATTTTGCTCACTGTGGCTAACTAGTAGACTTATTTTACTAAGCTTGAGCCTCATGGCTACCCTTTTTATGTCATAATTTTCATTTTGAATTAATAGCAGAAAATCCCCCAAAAACGTTTCCATTTGCAATATGCTTCCTACCTATTGGAAATTGCCGAAAACCCCCTTATTTGAAACATTTTGTGCGAAATACAACCTTTTTTATGTGAAAACCCCCCCACCATCCAATTCCATTAGTTTGATCGTTAAAAATAGTAAAAATTGCCAAATTAAGAAAAATAATTGCAGTTATGGTCTTGAACTTTTTTTTTTTTCAAATTACGCCAAAATCTTATTTGCACAACCTAAAATCTCAAACTTTTTAACTTTATCTTCTTTTCCACTCCCACTACATCTCACCCCTCTTTTTCTTCTTCCACCCTACGACATCCCACCCCAATCGCTATCTCCACCACATTGACCACCAAAAAGGAGGGATTTCTCGCGAGGGTTAGGATGAAAGGGCGAAGCTTGTACTTTAGGTAGAAGCTTGTGGAGAAGTTGAGCTTGGACCCTAGGAGTTTGAACACTTCTGTCCAGAACCTCCCAGTGAACCTAGGGTCCCTATCAC